TACTGGTTTTAAAGCCTGATAGAGCACAGTAATTTGGCCGAGGCACCTTTCCCCTCCTTTATTATTATGACAATAACTTATTTTCAGAAACATTCTCCTAGTCTAATTCACAATACTGTTTGAATATTTAGTTTGGTGTGTTCAGAAGACCGGGGAAAAGAGGAATATGTAACAGCTACATAATAGTATGAGATAAAACAGGTAAATTAAGGAAAAGAGAGAGAAAAAAATCAATCAGTCCTACTGAACCATGACTCTTCTTCCCACTGAGCTCTAATTACGTCTAGTACAGTCCTATGAGGGAGCTAACAGAGGAATGAGAGAAGCAGATGAATTTTCTAAATTAAATAGCCACATACTTCCTCTTATGACAGGAAGCTTTCAATGGACCATGCTAAATTGATGTACTTTAATGAATTTATAAGCAATGATGCAATGGAAGCTTTTCAGCCCCTCTGAAAATTGGACAAGAAGTAGTGCGAATCCATTAAAACTCTGCCCACAAAGCAAAGCAGATGGATATTTCTGGAAACTAACAGCATTGAAACAGTCCACACATTTATATTGTCTTACTTTGGCTTTTGGAGTTAAGGCTAAGTAAGACAAATTGGCAAATTCCCACCTCTCAGAGTTACTGCTTCAATCTGCTTGCACACTGCAAGAATACTGCAGCTGATTATACTCAGAAAATATATCACCCTATTCATAAGGCTGAAAACTGTACTTTTCTGCCCAAAAACTGAACGTTATGCTGTCCAGAAACTCACAGGACTCCTCAGAGAAGTGTTTGTGCAGCGTATCAACCACTGCCTGCTGAATCAACTTTGATAGAATTTTAGTTTCTCTTGGGACATTTAGCATGTGTCTACTACAATAGGTAGGTGGACAGGAAGAACAGTCTGAGACCACATAAAAGCAAAATCAGTTTCTAAAATTGTTTTGACTGGGAAGCATATGAGATAAAAGATGGTAATGGGCAAGAACTGAAATGTGTATTGTACCCACCAGGAGCCAGAGAAAACGGGTTATATTACATAGGCTTGCCATGTGTGCAGATTGCATATTGTCTTCCTTATTTCCCCCCATCATAGTCCTTTTTGTTTTTAATAAAACAGTCTAAGTTTCATGAATGATGACTGTTACAGCTTTTATCAGTTATCATACAATTAAAATAATATATTTTCTCTTTCTTCTAATATTCTCACAATATGTTGTGCTGGTTTGGGCTGAGCTAGAATTAACTTTCTTCATAGTGGCTAGTATAGGGCTATGTTTTGGATTTGTGCAGAACACAGGGTTGATAATATAGAAATGTTTTTGTTATTGCTGAGCAGAGCTTGCACAGAGCCAAAGCCGTTTCTGCTTTCCATACTGCCATTCTGGCAAGGAAGTTGGGGATGCATGGAAGATTGGGAGGAGACACAGCCAGGACAGCTGACCCAAACTGACCAATGGAATATTCCATACCATATGAGGTACGAGAGATTTGATCTGCATAAACTTTGCTGTAAATAAAAAGCCTACCGACAGTGAAACCCTTACACATGCCTTTTGAGAAATAAAGTAACAATATTTTTTTCACATATGGCAAACATATTCCAGAGAAGCAACATAAGCAGCAAAGTACAGAAAGAGTAAGCCAAACAAACAAATAAACAAACAAAAAAATAACCCCCTATTCAGGAATTCTAGATCACTCTTGTCCAGGGTAATCCAGAGATAGTGAGAGGACATAGCAGCATTTACAACAGTGACTACATGAGCAATTCCCTTAGTGGGGCTCACTATTACCAGCACTTTTGCAGTACAAGAATTTCATTCTGCCTTTACTGCTACAGAATCAGGGTGCTAACTGTCACTAGTTGTAGTGGGTTTTGGTGATTAAAACTAAATGCTTCTAGATCATAATAATTTTAGTGCATGATTTAAAAAAAAACAGATCAGTATGCAGTAGCATTTCTGTGATCTACAGATTTGGCAATTTTCAAGAAAGAACTCAAAATACAACAATAATTACTGCACACTAATCTACTGAGAATTCTCTCATTGATCAGTTTAATTTGGTATTGAAAAAAACTACTTTGCCCATAACCGAATACCTAAACCAGTTCTCTGTGTCTGGATTTTCACAGCTTTCCTGATGACCTCTGAAAGTACAACCTATTTCAGTATATAATCAGTTTTGGTCACTTCGCTTTACACCTCAGGCAAATGATTGTAAACAAAACTGTGGCTTTTTAGACCACCCTTGGAGATTGCTAGAGTGGCTGAAAGGAGAGGCCAGCTCCTTTTTTCTTTTTTTTTTTTTTAAACTGAGCAATTATCAATCAAAATCAAGCAATAAACTTTCTTGATTAGCAATAGCTGCAATCCATCTTACACCTTCATTTTTAGGAACAATCATCTTGATATTATGACATTCCATAACATACTATTTCATTATCATACTAAAACAATAATCACATTAGTAAGGTTCCTGTCTCCTTTCCTCGCAGCAAGAGCTACATGCAGATATTCCTTTTAACTGCTTCCAGAGAAACATCTGGTCCTGCCGATGTAAATGTAACAGATCATAGTGCATCTCTGGGTATACCTGACCACTACACAGAGCTTGAGTAGACTTGATTTTGGGAAGCTAATAAACCACTTCAGCCTGAACCAGCACTGAAACAGTCTGGATTCACAAACAATTGTAATAGTCCTGATTGCAGTGTGACAAAGAGCTTTCAAAAATATGCTACAATCAGCCACTTCTTTAAGTTGCACTGATGCATGTCTGATGAGTATTGGTAAGAATATGGTTCAAGACATCAGACACGGCCCACACGTTTAATCTAATGGTTTAAATTAAGTAAGAAGAACTACCATTAGATCTGGACAGAGAAGGACACACACCAAATCTAAAACAAAAAGGTGGTTTATTCAACTGAGGCCAGCCTAAACACCGTAAGATTAAACCACAATCACGCTTGGTGTAAATTTCTGTTTGATAAAGCTGCACATGTTCAAGTCTAGCTATCTAAGGTTTTCATTGGTTGTTGACTGTATTGGAACCGTAGATGCATCATGTACAGCCCTGTGCTCCCGACAATTCCTGAGTCTGATACCTCCTCTTTGGGGACTCAAAGACTCAATCTCTGCATTATCATACTGTGAAAGACACAACATGCTTTCTATGGCTGACTGCAATGTAAGATCCTCACTGATAATCTGCCAGCTTCAAGGGAATTTCTGCATGTTGGCTTTAGCAAGACCTGGAACCCAGTTTTAGCTTTTAGACTTGTAGGAACTTAAGAAAAGCAACACTAGAACAGATTCGATATTCATCTCTGACAACAACCAACAAAAAAATGTATGTAAGTACATAAAAGCCTGGATACTCTTCCATCTGTGGTTTCAGCACATCCTGCAGAGGTGGCACCTCAGATATGTAACAGTCCCCAGCTGATTTTTCAGATGAATTTGTCAAGGCCTTTTCTGAATTCATACACATTTCAGCATGCACCAGGGAGTTCTATAGCCTAATTGTGGACTTCATGAAATGCAGCATTGTTTTGCTTGTGTTGAATCTACCAGATGATAACTTATTTTGATACTTGTCAGTTCATGTTCTTCAGTGGATAAAACAGTTGTTTCCTACTTTCTCCATTTCACTTGCAATTTTATGAATAACCTGCAAATCATCTCTCCTCTATGCTGAACAGTCATCTCCGTGTATTTAATCACTGATCCTGTGTTGTAACTAATTGAAGTGTCTGGTCGCTTGAAAACAAGAAAAGAACAAACCCTCCAGATTGGGTTTTTTGTATCATTGGCTTGTAACTCACTTGGAGATTATTCCAGTTAATGTCAGCCTCAATGATGTAGTTAAGTCAGAGTAGAACCAAATTAAAACTCTAGCTGGTAACTTATGTAAAATGCTAAATGATTTTGAAAAAAATAGGATAAATTCAACATATTGCCCCTAGAATTCTGAGCTAATCTATTCAGATTGTATTTTTAATACAAAGGAAAAGTGAAGCAGGAAGTAGATCTGTCTTCATCATTTCATTATCCACCAGGGATATGGAGCTATGTTTGCCATTTGCAGTTTGACAACCACAGGAAACTGCCTGTAAGAACCATGTTCAAAGGAGGAATGTAGTGCCATTTCATCCTTCACTGATAAAATTCAGACCCTGTGCACATCACCTTTGTAGTTCTGTTGCAAGCTGGACACCCATGTAGGGATGTCTTCACAAGAGCAGAAGCTATGACGCACCTCCACTGTGGGAAATTACAGAAGTTTGCCAATTTAGAGTCAGTACCAGCAAGTTAATTAAGCAAGAAACTAAGTTGTGTTCCAGGAAAATACAGCATGTGATAGACTAGGGTGACATATGCCACGTAGGAAGGCAAGCCCAGTACTCCTTGGGGTGGTTAAGAGAAGCAAATAGTTCACATACGAATTATCAGATCAGATGGAAAAAGGTGCAAATGGAAAGGAGGTTATAGCAAAGAAGGGGACAAAAAATCTCAGAGAAGATGTAACCCCCTGATGATCATGGTGGAACTGATACAAAACCTCCAATGTCAATCACCTGTTGGACATATTCTGCAGCTGGCAAATTAAGTGGAAAGAGCTGATACGAAACCATATAAACATGTTTTACTTGCCTTTATGGTTACACAGACTACATTTATGCATTTATGAGTTAACCTTTTGTGACTAAAGTGAGACATGCATAGCTAAATTAATAGTTTCCTAACAGGTCTTTTCAGTATTTTACTCAACCTGCACAAACTCCTGGCTCTGCTTTGGAAATTTAAAATATACTTCTCCCTAAACAGACTTCTCAGTCATGGTTTCAGCCACTTCAAACTGCATCAAGGGATATGTCTGAAATCCAACATTGCTAACATTTTCTAGGACCACCACCACAAAGATGATACAGGAGTTCATTAACATGTGTGGAAAGTCACTTAATGAGACACAAACCTAACATAACAGGAGCACTAACCAGTGACTGTCGGAACAGGAAACACTTCTTTGGGTCAATACCACAGGCAAGGATGGCAGCAGTGGTGTCCAGTATATTCTGTTGCAGGACAGCTGGCTCCTTGGGCATGGTGAGAGAGTGCAGGTCCATAATGCTATATAGCACTGAGGTGCACTCTTCCTGCAGGTTCACCCAGTTCTGAATGGCTCCAAGGTAGTTACCCAGATGAGGTGTCCCAGTTGGCTGGATTCCAGAGAAAATCCGATCCACAACCACATTCTGTGATAAAGCATTGGTAAAATTAATACACGCAATTTTTTTGACAGATTCTTCTATATTTTAAAGTCATTTAAAAAGCCTCATTTACACCCATCTCTTCTCTCCTCCTGCCAGTGTATTAACATATAAATGACCTCAGGATTGATAATTGCAGTAAGTGGTAGATTCTTTATCCTCTTTTGCACTGAAGCTGCATGTTTCTCCTTAGTTTCTATATCCACTATAGTTCCTGTATCCACACTTCAGTTTCTGTATCTGTCCTGATATAAAAACTTAGAATCACAGTATAGAGAAATTCAAACATTTTTGTTGTAAACTCATGCAATGTCCCAGTAGATTGCCATCTTAACTCTCATGAACATTGAAGTCTTATTTTTCTTGCTTCAAGGAACATTCTGAGTGGTTCCTGAAAGCAACCTAGTCCTTGACCCAAAGGTCAAACAGTAAAGAGATTATCAAAGTTCTGAAACTGCCCATCTTGGCAGCAGTAGAGTTTCTAAAAGGGTCTTACAAAGAAATACTGCTATAGCTCAAGATCACACCTGGAATACTGTCCATGCATCAGGACTGGGAAAATGCCAGCATCTGAAGAGTTCACAGAGAAACAGAAAAAGAAGTACTATGAAGCTGAGGTTGTGAGCAAAGATTTAAAAGCTTGAAACATGTATAGCTTGGCTAAGTGACAGTTATCATCTTAGTAAGTTTGTTTTCCTGCACCCCAGCCCTCCATCCGACCATTTTCTCAGAGCCCCAAGCTGTCAGCATATGATCAATTACCTCACCGACCTTTCCAAAGAATTCCACCATATTCAGAAGTAGCTCAGCAATGTTTCATGTGAAAATGCCTGTTACTTGCCAAGTTGTAAGAGCACACAAGACTGCTCGACTTATAAATGAGGGTCCTCCCAACCTCAGCAAGGAGTTCCAGTCACAAAGCTGCGTGGCACAAACCCTCAGACTCTGTTGTGTGGTAGGAACATCATCTTCCTTATGTCTGTGGCTGCATGATTCTTTTCCTGCTAAATTTTATGAGCAACATCTATAACTTAGCAGGCAGAACTTATTTACTGATGTAGTCTGTTCTCTTTTCTGTGAATCTCTTACAAATGTTTGTGTGAGAAAGAAAAGTCATACAACTATTAAAACACACAAAATGGCAGTAAAAGTCAAGGCCAAGTACCATTATTTTTAACTATTAAAAAAAGGATTTTGAATTGACTTAATTCATTTTGACTCAGACTCAAGAAAAATTAATGAGAAAGTGTTTCCAAGTGGAATAGGAATACTCTTTTTAACATGATCTATAGTGCAGAAAAACCTACCCTATTTCCTTCAACATTTGCTGAAAAATTGTCTTTGCTTTCAAAGTCTGTTTTTCAGATCAAGACAATTTTCTTATCCAATGTTTGAGTGTTTGTGCTGACAGACAAGGGCAGGTTTGGGCTAGCTGCCATGCTAATTTCTCCTCCTCCCATAAATGCCTACACATTTAAGTCTTGGTGGTAACCTCCTCGCCACATCCCAAATACCTTCTCGACTTCTAGTATATTCTTGAGTCAGATTCTAAGGGCTCTTGGAGAACCTCCATCACAGGAGCTGCAATATAGTCACAGCGCAGCATTTCCTCCAACAGCAATTCCAGCTTCCAATTCTTGTGCTGCAGTCCTTGATCATCCATGCCTTTTCTCCATTACACAAAAATGAGTTATGCTATGCAACCTCGTCTCTACCATCTGATCCCCTGTTTTCCTAGGAGCCTACATCAGAGCATTTTTCACCACTCACAGAACCCACTCATATCCCACTAAGCTACAACCTGGCCCAAGGACTGCAGCCAGCTTCTTGTTAACACTGAGAAGGGCCAGGTGCCCACCCACAGAAGAAGGTTACAGAAGGAAGTACAGCATTCCAATGAATATAAATCAAATGAACTCAAATAAATGAAGGCTTCAGAGCTGTACTTCTGTTACTACAGGCTTAGAGCAGTTGCAAGGCAATGCAACAGGTATTTGTCTTTTGCTTCCCATGTTCCTGCTCTTCACCAATATGCACTCAAGAAGAAAATTAGGCTATAGATGATCACTAAGATGGTGTTCTGCCCCTACAGACATCCCAGAACAGCTGTTTGTCAGAGCACATAACCTCATCTCCATGTCTCCCCTCACTCAGTTCAAATCCTCCCTCCCACAACTATTTCTCCCCACAGTGCTGCTTGTTTCCCAGTGCCCATTTATATGCCTGTTTAACCACATTCTTCTTCAAAAGCTATACTTCTTACAGTCCTACTCTCCATTTTCTTATCAGTTTCATCTCTCCTGTATTCTTTTCTTTTCTTCCTCTACTTGTGCTTTCCACCCCTTGCTTCCCAAAACAGCTCTTGCACGGTATATCAAGATGGTAACAGGCACAGAGAATGCCATACAATAAGGTTAATACTCTTACTACTAATTAAGCTATTACTGCCTTGACTTCAGGGACATTATATGAAATATGCTTTCTACCTGCAGTTAGAGAAGCTAAGAAACTTCATAACGTGCTCGAAATCCACTATGGACATGCATCACATAAAGTATGTTAGAGGGACCAAGTTAAAGCATGATGCAGAAACTCATACATCTTTCAACTGCAGTCTGGTCAAAGACAGCATCACCTGAAATGTGCCCTGATGTTATTTCTTCTTTTTCCTGGGACCCTGAAGCTAGTGCTACTTCAGCACAGAAGCAGCTGGACCCCCTGGGGTAACTGTCTATTACACCAGAAAGCAGGAATTTCTGTGCAGCCAGCACAGCTCATGTGCCAATACCTTGACCCAAAAAGAACCAACACCCTGAGCTTGTGGAGAACAGTTCTGCCTAGAAACCCTGTCGATCCCCAAGTCACACAGACTCTGTTTCCTTGCAGCCACAGTCCCTGCTACATATGCTTCCCAAAACATGTTCATTATCTGCCTTTTTCTCTTCCTGGATTTGTCCAGTTTGTAGATTATGTCACTATGAACATATTGGATGTATTGGCAAAATTATGTCCCCTAATTTGAGTATAATATACTCAATACATAAAAATGCAATGGTGACATTTAAATAGGCAGTTTGAGAATGACTTTCACCAAGAAAATACAAGACATCAGTGTCTCGACATAAACTATACATTCAAATACTGTACTAACTCCAAATATTCAAAGGCTTACAATAAGCTAATGAAAGGTAGGTTTGTTGTAATACTGTATAACTTAGCATCTGGTGACACACTACATGTTGAAAAGAAAACACCCAAGTACAATGTAAAATGGACATAAAGAGAGAACAAAGTTCTCTGTCTATCCAGTAATGAGAATACCTGAAAGGGCAAGCATGACTTCTTTAATGGTGTTTTGTACTTTCAAATGGTAAACAACTACTTATAAAAGGTTTGTTCAGTATAAGGGCAATAAATAGCAAGTTGAACATGAGAAATAAACAGTAGCAGTATTATACTGAGTCTAAACTCAGAAATTACTAAGGTAATTGCTAAGGTATGAAACTTGCAGGAACAAGTAAATTCAATAATGAAAACTGAGCTAGGCTGAGCCCGGCTAAAGCACTAGCAAATACATTACAAAGAACAAACCCACACTGGCTCCCAGCTGAGGGACCAGTTGACTATAAGTCTTTCATCTTTAACTCCTTTGATTCCGTTTAACAACATAAAGCATGAGAAGTTACAGCAAATAGGGTGGCATGAAATATTACATTGTGTTAGCAGAAGTCCATATTAAAAAAAGCCCACACAAAACACCCTTAAATGAATCTTGGATTTCTTGCACTAAAAATATACAGAGAACATTGCTTTATGTTTATGTTCCCTGTTTGTTCACTCCATGAGAAGCAGCGGGCAGCATAGCAGCATGGCAGGGGAGTTCTCCCTGGTACCATGAAATCATGGGGCTGGAATGCACTTCAGTGAAGCTGTTAGGTCAGGGAATGGGAGTTGTGTGCTTGAAAGTACTGGAGTTGGAAAATGATAAAAACAAAAGGAGTGAAGACTTCCCAACGGAGCAGAGTGAAAGCCACAAGACATGCAGCTCCAGCTCACAGGCACTCACTCATTCAGACATCTGTAATAAGCAGAGTGTGACCCTGCTGTTCGTATGTTTAACTCTGTGTGGTGTGTGCACGTACGCCAGTAGTGCTGCACGTTAATCTTCACTCCTGTTAAGAGGGTAGTATATGACAGATGATTTAACAACTAGAATTTGTTTTCTCTCACTAAGACTTCTGCGTGGCAATTCCAAACACCACAGTGCATTCTCAGCCACATCACTAAATGTAGCTTGACCCAAAATCCATTAAGGTGCTCTCTTACCTAACCTCCCTTTTCATGATGAGAGATAAACAACTGCTGCTCCTTATACCAAAAAACTATCAATGTCCAAACGCTCTCAAAGAATCAGGAATAAGCATTACCTTCTTATCCCGGAGTAGGATAACTAAAGTCTGGTCCTAAAATCCTGCAGTATGGCCCTATCCATTTTCAATGCAAAAGAGTATACTGGCAAAGATGATAGCTTCCAAAATCCAGTGCTGCTTTCTTGGACCAAAGCAGAGCTTTTGTGTTTACCACACTGTTAGTAAGGAGAGCTGCAATTGTCAAAGCCTCAATTCAACACTCATTCCCTCTCATGTGCCAACATGGAAGACACACCAAGGTTACTAGAGATAAGGAAAAGATCCATGCAGATCGAAACATCCCATGTCACAGACAGTTCTTAGTATCCTAATTATACATTTTAGCTTTATGATTTCTGTGAGTGTTGAATACAAGTATTTACCTGTTGAATACATGTATCTGCCTGGCACAGTCAACAGAAAACTGCTTCTCAAATATGTAGCAAAATCAGTCATAACACAGTTCCTCCACTTTACAAAGAGTTACACAAATAAAATCAAGTGAAAGCATTCACAAGACTTAACTTTTCAGAACCTCTCTTCTTTATAACTCCACGTAAATATTGCCATAACACA